ACGTTTTTGAAGAAGGTAGGTAGGTGGGTTATGGTAGATACGTACGTATTAAAATAAATTCCTAAAAACTTATAGGTAGGTAGTAAATTTCTCAAAACTATGAAACATCATACCTATATTCAATGATTGTAGGTATCATAGATAGGAATATGACATGTCCAGTTCAAAGAACCTTATTCTAATGAAAAAGGATTACAAACCCAGAAGATTTTAGCAGCAGTTCGAGTAGATATTTCCGCTTCTCTATTCCATATTTGTCATGAGCCTTCAACTGTCACAATTAAAGGCGCAATATTACGCATTTGCCGATGATACAGTTTTGTTATACAGTGGCAAAAACTTAGAACAGTTGGTAGATACAGTCAACGGGGACCTAGAACAATATCATAGATGGCTTTTGCATAACAACCTTAAGATAAATATAGAAAAAACAAAATACATACTATTCAAACAAAAAAACAAAACCGTTAATAATGTGAATATAGAAATAAATAACATACCTATCAAAAAAATTAATACTGTTAAATACCTAGGACTAGTACTGGACGAAGGTTTAAACTGGAGCGGCCACATAGAGCATATTAAAAATAAAATAATTCCCTTAACAGGTGCCATATACCGATGTAGATTCTTCATGAGTCACGATGCAAAGCTTAAAGTATACAATTCCTACTTTCTGTCTGTGTTAAGATATCTCCTGCCAGTCTGGGGAACATGCAATCTAACTAACTTTAATAAAATAAAAACACTTCAAAATAAGGTCTTAAAAATATTATTTAACCTGGACTATCAAACACATACAGAAGCGGTTTACACAATATTAGATATGACTCCTATAAGGGATATTCTACGTTTGGATCAGGCGAAACTAGTGTATAAAATTATTAATAAAAAACAAAAATGTAATACAAAAATCATGTACTCAAACGAATTTCATACATATAATATATGAAACCAAAACGATATATATTTAGCACCTATCAGAACTAATATAGCTTTTCATAATCCACTCAGTGAAGCTTCTCAGACATTTAATAACCTTCCATACGCCCTAAAAACTGAAAAATCTTTTTCCAAATTTATAAAAGATCTAAAAGCACATTTATGCTGAAGAAACCTTTTTACATACCCCAACAGTTGCATGCCTTAACTTGCTTGCATTGTGTTTGTGACTAGTTATAAGCATTTTCATTTTGATTTCATTTTAATTTTATTTAGCATAAGTAATATAGGTATATTTATATTATGTAGTTAACATTTTGATCGCCCTTTAGTCATTTTATACATATAGTATTTAGCTCTCCGGGACCAATATTTGAAATATTGCTTAGGTGAGTGTACCCGATTTTTAGCATTTAAGAATAATTATAAAATGTACCATATTTATAACATGCTTTAATAAAGGATTTCATTCGAAAAAAAAAAAAAAAAAAATCAAGGCCAATTGCAACAGTATGAGCAACAAACGAATAACCTGGAGTAATCAATTTTTAAGGTACTCCCTATACCACTGCACCGTGATTAACGAATTAATAATTACAGGAAGGAAGCAAATTTTTTTTCCAAAAATTCAAGAACAGGAATTTCAATTTAATTAAAATCTTTGTAATCTTTTGATAAAATGCTTCTTCTTATGAGTCCTCAAATGCCTTAAATCAGTGACGTTTTTCAAAAGAACTCGTCATAAGTAAGTTCCTTGTATCACAATACTGTATTGAAAATTACATGACTCAAATAAAAGGTAGATACCTACTTAAAATCTCTTTCAGAAGTTATTGAAGCAATAATTTTTCGACTAAAATGCATTATGTACTTCTCAAGTTATAATGATCGAATAAAGTCGCCAATCGCGCATGTCAAAAAACTTGCAAAATTATTCATAATTTCAAATGGCCATAACTGGATGGATTAAAGTTTAATAAATCAAAGAGCCTTTCGTTATATAAGCCACAAAACAGTATCAAACAACTATTTCGTAGCTCCTATTTAGAAGCAGGTCATTTAATTGTTTATTAAAAACGATCAATGTGACATTTTTCACTTTGATCGTTGTTTTGATCTAAGAACAAGTCTGAACATCGTAAAGACAACTTGCCGCAGAAGCACGCAATGCGCATCAATGCTTCATAGGTACAATATCCAAAAATCTCTTATTTCACCCAATTTTACTTTAATAACTTTGCCCAATAAAAAAAAATCCATACATTTCTACTCACATGGAATATCTGGTATATCCTGTATCTTGTGAAAAACATCTTTCACGAGTAGTTTGATCTGGTCCATTAAAAACAAGTTATGTTGAAAAAATAATGTCAATTCGAGTTTGAATTCAATTAAAAATATCCTGTATATTGGAAGTGACACAGCGTGGTCTTCAATAAACTACTAAATTTAAAAATGGTCTGTGATAGGATCCCTATCACTGAATAAAAACGGAAAAAAACAATTTTTTGTTACCTTAGAGGGACAACAAAAAATGTATACAAGTCATAGATGAACTTTGCTTCGGATTAAGGCGGCTCATGCACATGAATACATTGTAATTATGTGGCGATTGATAAATATATCAACTTAAGGGGCGTATGTATGGAACAGGCGAAAAAATTTGGATTAGTTATCATTCCAGAATAAATCGCCTATAATAGAAAAATCAAGTAGAACTATGTACCTATCTGTTAATGAATGATAATATTATCGACGTGACAGTTAATTTTGGAAAAATCCGTAATAAATTAGAGAAAAATTCAAATTTTCCAAATTTCTACCTACATATGAATTTCTGCAGGAAATGCTTGGCACCAGTTCATTATTGTCTATGAGCTCCATATAGCCTAGATATTAGAGCTACTTTACCCAAACCAGGGATTCTATTGCGATATTTTTCTGTATTGGTTGTATGTATTAATAAAATTATTATTTAATTCAATAAACATGTTTTCCTTTACTTCCCAAAACAGGTTTACTACACATTGTTATGAAAACAGAATAAAACTTGTGGAAACTAGAAAGGAAGATGTTTCTAGCTTTCCTATGGTATTAGCTATCTGTGACTTTTATATTGGTCTCTAGGAATTTTCCTACAACTTTCTTCCTAAATCTATCAAGATACAAAACTCTCACATCACATTGATTCATTTTCAATATAAGCAGCTTCACAGGCTCTTGAGTCTTGGATGTACCTACACCAAAGCGGATATTTTTTTAACAACCTAACAACAAATTTTAGAGGAGAACAAAAAAACTGTAGGTACAGAGCAAAGATCAATGGATCAATGGGAAAGTTATTCTAGAATTGGAGCAACTTAAAAAGACTATTTGTTCACATACCACATACCTACATTGTGAAGTTTTTATTAATAGGCCTCGGTAATAAGGTAGGTACTAAAATTTTAAAAAATCATAACTTTTTTTCTATCATAGAAAGCTGAAATTTTCAGCGATTCTTATACTAATAGAGGACTACAAGCCCTGCAAAAGTTTCAACTCATTTGGACTTATAGTTCCTGACAAAAATCGCGATAAGGAATTTGGGGTGAATTTTTGGATTTTTCAATTTTTTTAAAGTCCTTTTTTTATGTTATATTTCGGCTTCAAATCCCACAATAAATCACTGTATGCAGTTTCTGGAGTCTCAATTGATCATCTAAAGTTAAAATCTCCACCAAAAAAAAAAAAAATTGGAATTTTACCATTTTGAAAGGAAGACTTGAATTTTTGAAAACTTTGAATAGGTACTTAGCTACCTTATGATTTAGATTTTTGAAAACTTTGAAAAATCAACTTCTTTTCCATCATAGATAGAACGCTGAAATTTCACCATTTAAGTACTAAGCTCGATTAAAGTGCTTACTGTTTATGTCTTCAACAAGTCACTTCCTCCATATCCGACTCGTGAGTGTAAATAACTATGTAATTACTGAAATTGTAAATTTATACCTACTTGTTATCTTCTAATTTCTAGACCTTTAACTCGACCTTTAACAACTGTCATAGATAGATTTTATCACGACTTGAAACTATAAAAGCTTCCTACTGGTTTTCTAGGAAGTTTGATACTTTTCACCTTTAGCTATTTGGATGGCAAAATATTTAAATAAGAAAATGCGGACTTTCCTTATTGAAAGATTTCTCATTATGTATTACTATTTTCTTACCAGGTGTAGCCGTAAACATATGTCCAAAGAAACTCAATTTCACATTTTTTTTTACACCAATACCAAGTTAAACCAAATCACTATTAACTATGCATTCTTGTTATTCACGAAAAAAAATATTATCTACTGAAACCATTAAACCAATAAGTAAATAAATTAGTACTATCACTCTCAAAATTGTCTACACAAATGGTAAATTTTGTGTAATATGGAAAATCGTACAAACAAATAAATGATTATTGCATTGATCACCACTGAATAGAATAAATAAATCTTTGTGTATATAGGGCGGAACAGAAATTTGTTTGGATGTCAGAGCTGGTTTGGTCGTTTTAATTTGTAGAATAATTAATTAACTTATTTGTTTATGTGTCTGGGTTATTAGTCCAAAATTTAAAGTGAAAATCATTTCACGAACATTTTTTCGGATCCTGGTAATATTTTCGATAATTCCTTTGCAAACTTGATTGTACCATTCCAAGTACCTACATAACTAATATTTGATTAAGGTCGCACCTTTTTATAAGCAGCTCAAAATAATCCTTTTATCACAACGATATTTAACTAAACAGTTTATAACCGATATGCTTCTCTTCTGATAATAAGTATTTGCAACAGTTTGATTATAGTATAATGTCGATTACGGTATTAAGGCCTTGTCAGTATGATTAAGAGCTTGACAAGGATCAATTTCATAGAAATTAAGTAAATAATTTTCAAAAATTATGACAGATTAGCTTGGGGCTTGGAGTTTTTTCAGAACAAGCCAATTTTAAGTTTATCAAGGTCCAATAGTTTCCTAAAGCTCCTCAAAGTTTTAAAGCAACAAACAAATATACAAAATGTTTGTGTCAGAGAAAAACATCATGTATTTAATATTTTAACAACAAGTCTCTATCAAACAATTTTTCTTCTTAACAAAAATCAAAATCAAGTTCAATAAAAACATCTAAAATAAAAAAATATATACTTATAAAGAAATGAAAAATAAATAAAAAATAATATGGTTAATTATTATTATTCTTCTATCAAAGCATAGTAATATTAATGCTATCACCCTTATCACACTGAAACAGAAAAATTGAAGCATCTAAGACTTTTGAGCTTTCTTTTTTTGTGGAGCTGCTTCCTTTTTATTTATTCTGTCAATTTTTTCGTGTTCAGCCTTAACTAAAGCTTTCAGTTCATCCTAAAAGCCCATTATCTGCATTAAAAACCATTAAAATTAAGGTTTCATTTACTTACTCCCCAGCCTAGTTTGTCAGCCAATAACTGACATCCATCATCGCAATCACCAATCCAAGCCACATCTCTAGTATTTCCTTTTTTGTCATATTCTAAACCCCCACTGAGTCCCATCATAGACTTTAGTCCACTCGCCCGTCCAACTTTTTCGTTGTTGATTAATAGTCTTGGGGTCATCGAAGAAGGCCTAAACAATAAATTTTGAGAATGACATTTGGTTTTAATAAAACTTCTACTCACAAATCAATTAGGCCAGCAAATGGATTCACCACCAAAGAAGATCCCAAAATAATTAACAAGTCGCATTTAGCAAAGTCATCCTCGACAGAGTCGTGAAATTTATCTGGTAAATTTTCGCCAAAGAAGACAATGTCAGGTTTAACAACTCCTGGACAGGTTTCACATATTGGAATTTCATCTTTGAAAATTCTCTCTACAATAAATAAATAAATTTATTATGCAAACGCAAAAATCACTGCAAAAAAACTCTTTCTTGCAAATTTTTTTCATCAGATCAGACAAAATTTTATAAAAATGCAAGGCTAGGAGACTGGTAAACTTAATTGGGCTGCTTTGCAGAGTTCCAGTTTGGTAAGAGAAGAAAAATACAGTCATGTGAATAATATGACTTGCTCAACAGATTCTTTTGTATGGACTTTTGAATTCATTTGTGAAAAACACTTTAGTTTAGTAATTGGCAAATTATTTTTCCAGATATTTAATACACAAATGTGTTGATTTGGCAAACTGCAAAAATAGAACTTGGAATTTTTGGCTTCGTCGATGTGAGCTTATTTACCATCAACACAACAATCAACAGGAAATATTTGAGATTGTGAGAATAGCGGACATTTTGTTGATTGTTTGTATGTGTGTATCTGAGATGTTTGCAAACATCGAATATTCAGTAGTTGAAAGTAATTTTTTGATTTTTGTACATGGGGAAGAAAGGATAAGAGGCAAGTGCATTTTCACTGACCCATCCATTATCCAAGATTTTCTCCAATGGCTGCAGTCTACTCTGGAATTGGATATTGAAACAGAATCTTTGTTTTCAATAATCTCAATTGTTCTTTCAGGAAGAGACAAAAACTCGAGGAAAAACTCAAGTATATTTTTTTTTTGCTCACAAAGCAGTTGAAAATAATTTAATATGATTCCCATTTATTTCTGGATTGATTTTACAAAAATAGGCCACATGGGCTACTTACACGTGCCAGGAATATGAAAAAATCAAAGAAAAATCATGTTATTTTTTGACGCGGATGCATGAATGCAACGGAGAATGAACAATTTCGAAACCGTTCATGGGATGTATTTTTGACGTATTAGAACCTCAATGGTTGGGACCAACAGACCTTATGACATATACAGGGCTGTTGTTATATTATGTATTTAAACGGCCTAATATTTCAGAAAGCGCTTGAGAAAAATGTACAATAATTCCTAGGATGTCTATTCTCGAAACGAGGGAACAGCGTTCTCATGAGAACGATGACTCTGTTTTTATCAGTGTCATGGAAATATAAATATGGGTGACGGAAACAGAATCTGCGTTCTCATGAAAACGCTGCTGCCCTGTCTTGAGAATAAGGACCCTGGGAGGATTGCCCGATTCAATGGTGGTATTTGCAATGTTGCAGTAGTAATACAGAAACGCAAATTGATGTTTTTATGCAGAATCTGGAAGGATTTAAAACTGCACCTTCCCTGTTAAGACAAATGGAAGAGCTTAGGGAGGAGATTGGTGGTATTAAGAAGGAGTTGGAAATTGTAAGGGAACTAAAATATACTGTACACGGTGAAGGGCAGGTTTATACTGAACAGATTCTAACTGAGATCCAGGAAAGAACAGATAGATCTAAAAGCTCCATTATTTTTAATGCAAGGGAGTCAGGAAGCGATGATTTAGCAGGAAGAATTGAAGATGATAGGAAAGTGGTTCAGGAGGTATGCAGATTAATGAATCTACAGTAGAGATGGTTGACAAGGCTGTACGGTTGGGTAGAATAAAGGAAGGCGCTGCCAGGCCTTTGAAAGTGATAAGTACTGATCCATCATTTGTTAAGCAACTTCTAAAAGCTAAGCATAAACTTCAAGACTCTAGATAGAGGATAAACTATGATCAACGAGAACAATTATTCAAGAATGTACTAACAGAAGTGAACACCAAAAGTGAAATGAGTGAAAATGATAGTTATGTTGTTTGCTATAAATACACCTTTTCAATTTGAATTTCGCTTATGTTATAGAAGTATAGTAAGATAACAATATGACGAAAATGCATTATGAAAATGTTGTAGGGCTACGTACCAAGCTAATGGAATTAAATAAATACTTCACATAAAAAATTGTTTTGGCCGAGAGAGGGGCTACATGAGGGTATTTTTCCGAGGAATTATGTTTTGGTAATTATAATATATTTCAGGCTGACAGAAATGTACAAGTAACCACCAAAAATAGAAGAGGTGGTGTGCTAATAATGAATAAAGATTCTATTCAAGCTTCCATTATTAGAAAAACAAGATAGTTTTGAGCAGATATTTGTCTTATGTAGAAGTTTTGGAGTTGAATTTATAGTGGGTGGTGTTTATGTTCCACCTGGATCACCAGAGGAACACTACATTATGTACTGCTTGGCTGTAGATGAAATCTGTTCAGTCCACCGAGACGCAAAATGTTATACAGTAGGAGACTTTAGCTTGCTGGGGGCACAATGATCAAATGCTGAGAATGGAGTGGAAGTGGTGTGCCTTTCGAATTCGCCGGCTTTACATTTGGCACAAACTTATGGGTATTATGATATGTACCAAAGGCTTGAGGTTCCTAATAGTAGGAATGTCTTTCTAGACTTGTTATTAACAAATGACAGTTCAGTTAATTGTACAGTCGCTTGATCCAATCAATGTTTGGTATTTCTATCCATCATACATCATATTCATGTACTTTGAATTTGAAGAATGTTAAATCTGATCTTCTCAAAGTTAGGGATTTTTATTTTGATTTCAAAAATGGTAATAATCAGGGTTTAAACGATTATCACAATATGGACTCTTCTAACAGACTTTTATAGAATTTTGAATTATGGAATTGAGTGTTTCGTACCATACAAAATATTCAAGACGTCAACCTTTCCATCTTATTTTTCCAGGGAGCAAAGAGGATTGATTTTACTCAAAAAGAGCAAACATAACAAATATCAAGTACCCAACTGGCAATGTAAGAGACTATGTAAGAGACTAAGTAAAGAATGTTACAAAAACGTTCTGGACTCCATAAATGTAGATCTCAGTTGTAATCCGCGGAATTTCTGGAAATTTATTAATAAAAAACGTACATCAAATGGTATTCCTAAAAGTATGGTTCTTAATACATTTGTGGCCAGGAGATTGTGGACTTATTTGCTGATCATTTTTTGACATTTTACACTAATAGTAATACAGCACCACTAGGTAAGTCTTATAGTCAACTAAACATTGATTGTCCTATCATAAGTGTTTCTGAAGTGTTTGATGAATTAGCGTCTCTTTCAAATAAGTTAATGTGTGTGGTTTTGAAACAATGCAGATACTCTTTATCTCGCCCTTTATGTAAACTTTTCAACCTCTCCTTGAACACATCAATTTTCCAGAAATCTGGAAGAAAAGCTGTATTTCACCTATTTTTAAATCAGGTCAAAAGGACTACATCAAAAATTACCGGAGTGATTTTATACAGTCATCTATCCCAAAGGTTTTTGATAGCTTGATGAATACATACTTAAACTGGAAGTGTGAAGAAGTCCTTATTAATGAGCATTAGGATTTAGGAGGTGTTGGTCCACACTGACCAATTTACTCGTCTACCGCAGTAAACTGACACATGTCTTGGAGAGGGAGTACCAGGTGGATGGATGCTATGTATACTGACTTCTCCAAGGCATCTGATAGAGTCAATCATGATTTGCTTATTAAGAAATTGATGAATTTGGGATTTTTTTGAGAGATTGGCAAACTGGGCTGGGTCTCTGTAACGAATGGAGATATTTTCTCTATCTCTATTGATGTCCCCTCTCTATTGATTTCGAGAAGAGAGAAGAGGACAGCAAGTGCCAGAGTGATAGGGATAACGATCTCTATCAGTTACAGAGTTCCAGCCCTGGTTTCTTAGGGATAGAGAGCTCATTGTTAAAATTGGTAATTTTTTATTGAAGGTTATGAGAGTAAGTTCTGGTGTGCTCCAGGAGGGACACTGCTCTCCCTTATTGTTCAGCCTGTTTGTCAATGACTTAAAAGATCAATTGAATAACTGCGAATTCTTGATGTTTGCAGATTACCTTAACCTATCTTCTATATATATAAAAATCAAAGTTCACGGGGTATCCGGATATGCGCTCCAAAACCACTTATCCGATTACGATGAAACTTTGGTAGGTTGTTATGGCCATCCCAAGGAAGGTTTGTGGATAGGTTACGCATCTCGGAAAAAGAAATTAATTTTGAATTAATTATTAATTTAATTGTAAACAAACTCATTCACATTACATAACAGCATAACCCAACTTTTTTTGACAGCATGAAATAACGTGGCCATATTTCTTTATTTAGGCTTGCATTCAACCGACGTAACTTTATTATTTTTTGAATTCAAGAACGGCTGGACCGATCTTGAATTAATACCACGTATCTCTATATAAGGTGAATTCGATTGACCCAGATTAGATCGATTTGGGTTCAATTTAAGTGAACTTCTTCTGATCTAGATCATTTTTTTGTTGATGAGGGTGCACTGATCCAGCTTGAATCGAACACAGTGTGGTTCATTTAAATTGAACCAGATCGATTTAATCCGGTCAATCGAATCGGCTACAGAGAAGAGTGATATAGGCTATTTTTTATCCCGAAAAAAAAAAGTTCGGTTGCGTAAAACTCTGATACACTGGAACGCCTATAAACAGCCCGGGGCGCTCTAGAGCAGCTCTGAAGTGCTTAAAATGCGTCACTGAACTCACTGGCAAGCGACTCTGATATCGGATTAAAAAAAAAAAAATTAAATAGAAAATCAACAACAAAATTTGAAAAGAAGTGTCTTATTTCAAAATGTATTTACACGCTGGCAACGCAGCGGGTCATTAGCTAGTTTTTAATAATTCTTAATGAACTTGATATTGCCTTACTTCCAAGTGATCTCGATAGTCTTATCTGACTGGTGTAAGAAAAAAATTATTGGATCTAAATGTTAAATGTTTCCAAATTTCATTTACTCGGAAGAAAAATAAAATCGAATCTTCCCAATCATTAAATGGTCACCAACTGAAAATAAATGAGGTAGCTAAGGACTTGGAGGTACAACCTATTTGATTCTTGTTATCATTTTACTGACCATATGGTTGTAAAGGCTGTAAAACATAATGTTGGGATTCAATCCTAGAAATTGTCAGGATTCATCTTTGGATGCTGTAAAATCTGTGTAGGTAGGTCTTAGCTTGAATATGTTTCAGTTATTTGGACTCGGCAATATAATGTTCACAAGGCTAGAAAGTGTTCAGCACAAATTTTTAAGGTTTTGCAATTATTAATATAATTTTGGGCTTATTGCTGACTATAGCTATGTTGATATTTTAAATTATTTCAAGTTTCTTCCATTGGAAAGGAGAAGGATTATATTGGATGTTTGCGTTATTTTTAAGCTATTGAATGGAAGGAATTTATGTCCTTTTTTAGTTTCGCAAGTCAAATTTGCTGTTCTGCAAAGAATGTTGAGACAAAATAATTTATTTTCTGTTGGGTTCCATTGGACCAACTATAAGAGACATTCTTTTGTGGATAGAACTTTGGATTTTCTGAACAGGGACGATAGGATAGATCAAGGGATATATGGTTTAAGTGGCTCGTTTCAATTCTTTTAAAAAAATAAAATAAAGATTTATAGGGGGCTGGTAGGCCCAGATAGGAAATATCAGGGTTGGCAAATATCATGATATTTATATAAATATCCAATTATTCGATATATAGGGTGAGTTACTAAGCATGCGGTGGTCCATATCTCCTATACTAACGGAGATCGAAAAAAAAACTAAATACAAAACTTGTAGATAAACATGAGTACTACATTCCTAAATTATTTTCCAGTATACAAGGTGGCCCAATAACTAGTAGTTACACAAAGTTATGTTTTTTTAAGAGACTCTCCCTGTATATTATGACATTTCTGGATTCTGCGGAAAATTCTAGACATATTTCATGTACAATGTCATATACCTATCTTCAACTGTTTCGGAAATATTGACAGTTGAAAACTGACTTTTTTGCATCTTTGACAGACTGTAAAACCTGAACAGTTAATTTTACAAGAAAACGGATTTTACATTCCTGTCTTAGTTTTTCATAAATCATTTGGCACCAATCTTGAATTTAATCCATGATTAAAAATTCCGCCTAAATTATTAATCTTCGGTTAAATTCGAAGTTGTTGTCCAATGATAGCTTATGAAAATCTAAGATAGGAATATAAAATCCGTTTTCCTCTTAAATTAACCGTTGAGGTTTCAGTCTGTCAAAGATGCAAAAAGGCGATTTTCAATTGTCAATATTTCTGAAACAGTTGAAGATTGAAGATATGACATTATACATGAAATATGTCTAGAATTTTCAGCAGAATCTAGAAATGTCATAATATACACAGGGAGAGTCATTTAAAAAAACATAACTTTGTGTCACTACTAGTTATTGGGCCACCCTGTATACTGGAAAATAATTTAGGAATGTAGTAATTATGTTTATCTACAAGTTTTGTATTTAGTTTTTTCTCCGATCTTCGTTAGTATAGGAGATATGGACCACCGCACGCTTAATAACTCACCCGTATATCAAAATTTGGATATTTATTTATATTTTTAATTATTTAAATTAGTTCATCTGTTTTCTGTTATCTATATTATTAAAATTCAAAATAACTTTAAGGTAAATTTAATAAAATGTTATAAACACGTAAAGTTGGTATGACGTCGGAAATATTGTACATTTTTCTCAAGCACGTTCTGAATTATAAGTACGATTCCATACAAAATAACGACAAACGACAACCCTGTATTGTTTTTCAAGATTTTTTAATTACCTGTGAAAATTAACATATCATTATTATAGCTCATGGTTTCTAGAGATACAGATTTTAAGAAAGATTCGACAACATGGAGACAGACATATAGGTTCTTTCGGTTCATTCTCAGGTTCATTGTACTAGCTAACAAGATTTAACTGATTATACCTATCCCTTTTTTTATAGCGTAGTAAAGGACGCAAATAGGTTCTAGGTAGTGAACTGGGAAATATTTTTATTTTAATTTTTAGTACATTTACTGGATATCTTTGTCTAACTGTTAATAAAAAAGAAGGATACAATATAGCCTGACTTGCCTGACCGTGAAATGATTTAATTACTAATGAGAAATTCTGCATCATTGCATTTTTGGGTCTCTGACGTCACAGTCCTAGCCCATGTTTTCTTGAAAGATCATCTGAATAACTGCTCACCTTTCATCCATTCCAACTCATACTGTTTACGACAGCTCAAACAATGTCCAGTATAAAACGTTCCATGCGCTTCCACTAACTTCTGTTCTGGAACTTCAGCGACTCTTTCCAAAGTATCAATATTTTGCGTGTAATGCCGTAAAAGCATTCCCTTATCGTTAAGCAATCTGATAAAATAGTGACACAATGTAGGCTTGAAGGATCCAGGATACAGTTCCTTGGCAAGCACGAAAAATGGTTTTGGATTCTCTTGAAAGAAATTCAATTCAAATATGGCCTGTGGATGTGGTAGGTTGTACTTTGCTAGGTTGTGATACAGTCCAGTGCCAACCGAGCGAAAGTCTGGTATTCCTGCAGCTACGATAATTTGTGTTAGTTTCAAATTGTATTACATAAGAAAATTCTTTAGTTACATGTCGATATCCCTGCACCTGCCATAGTTATGATATTTTTGCATTTCTTTTTGTCAATGTAATCCACAATACCATCTAAAGTAGTTTCTTCGAGTGCCTGAAAGTATCTGACACTACATACTAGCCCCATGACAGTTTTTGGTTTTAAGTTTTGTAACCACCTACTGTTTAGAATTGAATACATTTAACAGCTCCTTGATAATTTAAAAAAATTAATAAAAATTAAGAATACTAATGTTTATTTTTGTGATCTCAGCCAAGTTCAGGGTCAATTTAAATTGAGGTTATGTACCTTTATTCCACTTGAAACAGCTTCTTCTTCATCGCCCAAGCCCAAAAAGCCCAATTTTTCAGTTAAATATTCTTGTAAAGCTGCTAAATTTAGGCCTGAACTTGTCTCAGCAGGTACCCTGTTTGGGGAATCGCTCCCCGTACCACTGCTTGATGTAGCACTTTCTGTATCTGTTTGGTTCTTGACTTGAATAATCATTTTACTTTATTTAATGGACATTTTACTAAACGAATTTCGATACTCACCATTTTCTTTATCATTTGAAGACATCTTTAAGTATTTTGTCTTTTATTTAATTTTGAATCAAAATCCTAAACCAAAACCAAGGAACCAAACCAAAACAAAGCCCAAACGAAAACAAAAATTTCTCATTTCTCAGCTAGGTTAGTTTTTCTGTCTTGACTTCTGGCATATGTCACCTGTCAAAGTGAAATAATTTCGTACATAAAGCGCTTTCTTTTATTCAGCAGGTTGACCAGGGCCGAGTTCAGAAATAACGCACAGGGTGCGAGTGTGATTTTATGAGTGTGACAATTGGCCATTGGGCCCATAGCACTGTCTAGCATTTTTGAACAGCTAGGGCGTCGTGCCGGTGTCACACTCACACTGGGTGTGTCATTCCTGAACTCGCCCCAGTCTATTTAAAATCTGTTTTTTTTTTTAAGATAAAAGTCAAAATGACATTAGAGAGTTATTGGAACTATTAAATACTGCCTCGCAGTATAGAGAGTTATTGGACGTGCAATAAGGACAAGCACTATTTAAATTATCCTTATTTTGACATCTACGCATGCGCATTTGGGTCCGAAAATAAGGATTCCCTTAATAAGGTTACTGCTTGTCTTTATTTGTGTATGGTTAGTGCAAGGCAGTAAACTTCCCTTATTTCAAATTTCTGACATTTTGGACGACTTTGACGTTTTGTTTTCCGACGATAACGTAATTTTATTTAGAAAATTTTGTATTTTATAATATTTTTCCATTTTACTGTCGGTAACATCAAAAAATGAGTATCAGCAGAAAATCACAAACAAAAATAAACACTTTTTGAGGCTAAAATTTATGAACATAGCTATCATCTGTCAAAATTATGAATACAAAATAAGGTAATACTCTAGCACCTACTACAGTCTTCCAATAACTGTTTTTTTCTTGGAAAAATAGTGCTGATGCACTAATAAAATAACGTAGATCCTTAATACTGCAAGGCAGTATTTAATAGTTCCAATAACTCTCTATTAAGAATCTACGTTATTTTATTAGTGCATCAGCACTATTTTTCCAAGAAAAAAACAGTTATTGGAAGACTGTAGTAGGTGCTAGAGTATTACCTTATTTTTTATTCATAATTTTGACAGCTGATAGCTATGTTTATAAATTTCAGCCTCAAAAAGGGTTTATTTTTGTTTGTGATTTTCTGCTGATACCGATTTTTTTATGTTACCTACAGTAAAATGGAAAACTATTGTAAAAAATAAATTTTCTAAGTAAAATTACGTCATCGTCGAAAAGCGAAACGTCAAAGTCGTCCAAAATGTCAGAAATTTAAAATAAGGGAAGTTTACTGCCTCGCACTAACCATACACAAATAAAGACAAGCAGTAACCTTATTAAGGGAATCCTTATTTTCGGACCCAAATGCGCATGCGTAGATGTCAAAATAAGGCTAATTTAAATACTGCTTGTCCTTATTGCACGTCCAATAACTCTCTACCATGTTGGCAATACAATGTAAAATTTATCAATGCTTCCAATTTTTTTATGTAGGAAAGGCTTGTGTTGCCAACATAGTTACTAAATTTTTGACTTGGGGAATTATCTTAAAAATAAAAACCGTCTTTAGTTCATAGACGGAATGGCTGTCTCATAATGGTGGCAGCAAATATGAGCTGCTTTCGGGTGCCACCCTTTGAGCGCTCCCGAGTTACTCCGAAATACTCGGAGTATGACAGGTGTGAAGTGTTCTAGGAGCTTCGCACTCTACACCCGAAAGTGGCTCTGGATTCATGATGAATAGAAGAAAGCGCCCATATTAGTTGTATTCCTTTTACATCTAGGAGGAACTCCGGAACAACTCCTGGACGTTACGCGCTTTATTCCTTTCGAAAAGTGTTTGTTGCACCACGCATCTGTTCCTTTCAAATCGGGGGCGACGAACACCACACCGGAGCTCGAGTGTTTTAATTGTGTGTTTTAAACTCTTGACTTGAAAGGCATACATGTTTTTTTTTAAAGATAAAAGTCAAAATGACATTATGTTGGCAGACATTGGGCAGTACAATGTAAAATTGTCAATGCTTCAAATTTTATATGTAGAAAAGGCTTGTGTTGCCAACATAGTTACTAAATTTTTGATTTGGGGAATTATCAATAGTGATATAACTAGTGCAATGGAAATTATTGATAATTTTTGGGAAATTTGCCCGAATACATTTTTAGTTGAAAAAGAGCACGAGTGCACTAAGTGCACGAGTGCCTTTTTCAGTTAAAAACGCATGAGTGCAAATTTGTCGAAAATTATAAATATATTTCCATTGCACGAGTTGTATTTAATGAGAGAATTTCATAAATCAAAAATTAAATTTTTTTGTCAAAAAATGTCAAAACACCAGTTTTCGCACCAGTTACTATGCAATTATCTGATAATTTGCAATTATCGCGTAATTGCAATCTGATTGGTTCAAATCAACAATCAAAACATGTCAGTCACAGTTCATTGTTGGAATACCAGTTTTGACAGATGATATATGAAATTCTCTTTAAAAAAAACACAGATTTTATTAAGGGCCATATTAGAGAGTTCTCGTGCTTCATCAGACGCTACGCTAATACGGTACCGTTAACAATACGGTATTTAACCTGGTATTTTATAGTTCTCGGACACATAACTCTTCTAATCCCTATTCTGTTTACATTTTGACGGCTGAGTTGAGTGATCTAACCTAACTTTTTTTTGTTTGTTTTCTAACCTATTTATCCTGAAGATTTTGAGTTTGATTAATTTTCCCTTGGTCTTTTTTCTGCAGGAATTATTAGAAGTTGCTGTTTTTGCAGACGTAAATGGAGCGTTAACTAATCTTGACATAGCATAGCGTTACGGTAAGGCATACGCTAAGTCCCGTTAGATAGCGGGCTCCGCTAAGGGTGGATTTTCATGCATCCGTTTGTCCTTTGTCCGACGAAAGATGTCCGAAAAACATTCTATTCTGACATAATCGTAATCGTATAAAAATACCTATGTCAAAATAGAAGATTTTTCGGACATATTTCGTCGGACAAACGGATGCATGAAAATCCACCCTAACGCTAATACCGTTAAAACTGTCATTCTTGTCAAATAGCGTTACGGTATTTGAAATTTGGACAACATAACACGAGAACTCTCGCTTGGCTTTTTATATGACAAAGCCGAGCTTTTCCACTAAGCCAGGCTTTATGGACTACGGAGAATATGGCCCTAATTAACGTCTACTAAAGGCCCATCCTCAATCAATCTGGTACCGAAGTGGCACTTCGGCACGCATGCTAGGATAATGTTGTTTAACGTTGGCATCCTCAATTCAATTCCGTGCTAAAATGTGTTTTTTTTTTTTAAGATAAAAGTCAAAATGACATTATGTTGGCAATACAATGTAAAATTGTCGATGCTTTCAAATTTTTCATGTAGAAAAGGCTTGTGTTGCCAACATAGTAACTAAATTTTTGACATGGGGGAATTATCTTAAAAAAAAAAAACAGACTTTGGGCGGTTACACACGGACGTGGATGTCAATACATATACGTGCATACATCAACGTGCAAACAACAGCGTGCATGGCGCTTTTGTACAGACGCTCGCACAAAACTGCAGTCTTGCTATTCTTGCTACAGTGTTCCGAGTGTGCATACAAAATTGCACATTCAAAAACGCGACGGTATTTTGCATACACATTGATGTTTTTGTTTGCACGTTCATGTATGTGCGTACATGTTTTTAGACATCCACGTCCGTGTGTAACCGCCTTTTAGCATGCACGCTGACTCTGAAGTGCAAGCTTGCGAGCTACAAGCTTTTCACAGACATGAATGAGCCTGCACCAAGTACACTTTTTAAATAAACGATGCTCGGAGAACTCAGATCAAAATACTGAACGCACGGTTCGTGACCGTACTACACGCACAGCAGATTGAAAATTGACAGCATTGAGGATGGGTATCAATTTCCAGCACACGTGCCGAAGTGCCACTTCCCTACCAGATTGATTAAGGATGTAGCTATGCATAAAAAAATTAATTTGCAAAACTTCATTTGATCATTAGTTGTATTCCTTTCAAGAGTTTGAAACACTCGAGCTACACGCTCCGGTGTTTAGTAGCCCCCGATTTGCAGGGAACAGATGCGTGGTGCAACAAACATTTTTCGAAAGGAATAAGCGCGTGAAGCCCCGGAGCTGTTCCGGAGCTCCTCCTAGGTGTGAAAGGAATACAACTATTCATAAACCTGTCAAAAATTACAAAAAAAAAGAAGAAAAATAAACACCCCATTGTGACAACTGACATCGTGACAATCGTTTCGTTTTAATCGTTTTTGAGCTTAGTCATTACCAAAACGACAGTCAGTAATTTTCCATTTGTTCGGTTCCATTTTCAAATAATAATAGCAAAATATTTAAAATTATAATTGTTTCCGTGAGATTTGCTGGCGGTAAACATGCGTTGGTTCAACGGTGGTATAGCTGAAGCGATAGCTTTCTCGAAAACGAAGGGTGCAGTTTTTGTGGTGTATATCGAGGGTAAGTTCTACGTTTCAGTAAAATCTAGTATATTTGAAGAAGTTCTTGAAACTCCTACTTTTTTCAACTTAAATATTCATGTAATGGTCCATCAGAAATATCTCAGGCTGAATCCAGATCCTTATCAAATTCTATAGCCGGTAGAGACCGAAGGCCGGTAGAACCAGAATACTAGAAAAAAAAAAACTTCCCTTCCCCTTTTATTCATTGTCATATACAATTCTGGCATTATCAGACCAAGTCTTCATTGCATTCAAGTATTAGTCAGCAGTATTTTCATACTGCTGACTAATGATTTACTTTATCATCAATGGTATAAAATTTCGTACCTACACAACTTATTACTTGTTGATAAGACTTGAGATAAGACTGCACTGTAAATGCTTTGTATTTTTTTTTAACAATTTTTATTTAAAATATAAACCGAGATATAAACCCACCTACTTAATACAGTTTGCGCAGAAAAAAATTCTCTACAGTGCCTAAAACTCGGCCTAAAAGCTCTGGCTTCACAAATATTGAGTCTTGAATTAATAATGTGTATATAATCTACGTATATGAGTTGCTGAAAAAATTTATATGTCTTTTCAAGCCATTCTGACGTTATTACTTGAGCTAGAATTCTCAAATTTGGAGTAGTACATCACAAGTACAGGGTGATCCAGTATAAAGTGAACACCCCCTACCTTTTCGGTAAAAAATTTTTTTTTTTTAAAATCAAGATAGCCATTTCGTGTATTTTTTTTCTAGGAATTTGAAAATGTTTTTCGAAATTTAATTAGATTTTTCGTTGACGCGCTGTGACCAAAATAGTTATTTATGCAACAAGTGTGTAAAGTAAACCTTTTTTCACGAATGTGAATTTTGACAATCACATGAGTGAAAAAAGGTGCTTTACGCACGTATTGTATACAAATTTTTTTCTACTACCAATCAAATATATGTCAAAAAATAGATTTAGACAAATACTTTACACACTAGTGCGTGAAGTATTTTCACTTTACGCACTAGTGCGTGAAGTAATTTACCAGAAAAATACTAAATTGACAGTGTCAACATCTGTCATTGACATTACTTTACGCACTAGTGTGTGAAGTGAATTACTTTACGCACTAGTGCGTGAAGTGAAATTTTACGTCTTCTAAATAGTGCGTAAAGTGGGTACTTTACGCACGGTAGTAGAAAAAAGTATTTTTTTTTAATGGAATAACCTATATTTAAATCAATTATTTAAACGCCCCTATTTTTCTCATTTCAAATATATAGTTAATTTATCTTTATTTCAGTAATTTGCCATATATTCTCACTTTAAAATTCACATAAAAATTGCCGAAAAGGTATCATAAAACATGATAGGTAACAAGGTAACCAGTAGTTTTATCAAAGGTAAAATTATTTCGATTTACCTTGATACCTTTTCGGCTATTTTTATTTGAATCTTGAGTGAGAATATATCGCAGATTACTAAGATAAAGATAAACAAACTATATCTATTTGAAATGAGAAAAATAGGGTCGTTCAAAGAATGGATTTAAATATAGGTTATTCCATTTAAAAAAATTACTTTTTTGATCACAGTACTTCAACGAAAAATCTAATTAAGTTTCCAAAAACGTTTTCAAATTCCTAGAAAAAAAATACAACAAATGGCTATCTTGATTTTTCAAAAAAAAATTTTTTAGCGAAAAGGTAGGGGGTGTTCACTTTATACTGGATCACCCTGTACCTACTTAATAGGTATCATCAGAAAAATCACAATGGTATTTATTACAAATGATATTTTTTTTACTAAAAGATTACAAATACCAGGTATTTCTGAATAGGGGGTTCAAACTTCTAGGATAAATAGTACTCATTAAAATAAAAATAGAAGTTAATCAAAATATAGGTCAGCAAATGCATAGTTTTCAAGACACAGAGTGTAGAAGTTTGAAAAAAATCGCCAGTTATTGTTCAGCTCAAAAATCAAAAGTCATATACAGTGAGAATATACCTTTTGTTGTTTTTATTAACTTTTCTATTATTTTACTGAGTACTATTTATCCTAGAAGTTTGATCCCACTATTCAGAAACACCCTGTAACTGGCTATGGTTACATATTGAAAACATTAAAAACACAAACAAATCTCGAGATGCTACATGCAGAATTTTAACAGCTTTGAAAAGTTTACTCCTGGTGTTGCGTTGAACTCGATAAACCAAATCATTGATCCTCTTGATTATTTTGTAGGGTGTTTGGTATTTCATTACACAAATAAAATGCCTAAGAAATTAGGTTTTGCTTTATTTCAACTTTTTCCAATCCATTACAGTTTTTTCATTGGCAGGACCTTGCACACCTTTCTGAACAACCAGTCTTGTCTTGCCGTACCACCTAAGCAAATTATCCTTAGCTTCTGGAAAATTATTTTTGTTGGTATTCATCTGAAATAAATAAATCTATAAAATAAAACGAACAGCTTTGTCATAATTTATTTGAAATGGAGTGATAACTAATAAAAACCATACTTACATACTTACCATCAGGGTTGCAGATTTTTTTGATTTTTTTCCAAAAAATCAAATAAATCCGATTTTTTTGATTTAAATCGGATTTTTTTGATTTAAATCAGATTTTTTCGATTTAAATAAAAAACCCTTTATTTAGATCTATTCGAGATTCTATTTTAGATTTTATTTATCATACAACAACACCCTAAACTAAACACAAAATTATGTTGTCTTTCTTCCTGCTAGATATCCTTACTTTTTATTAATTAACAACAGACGATGATTAGAGGGATTCCCAGGAAGATCCAATCAAATAGCATTTTCGTATAATTAAACTGGTGCAGCAACCGAGTGTATGTCCATCCTTTTTAGGGACAAAAGAAAGATAAAGATAAAGGTATGATGCAGCCTGTGCTAAGAACGCCACTGGCTGTTAACAGCTGATTACCACATGTTCGCTGCTCACCCAAGGTCCGGCGGTGTCACGTAGCTGGATTTATAGTGTCAGTATCAGTAACAGTAGCAGTAACAGTAGAATATTAAAACAAGGCCGACCGTAAAGCCATTTAAAATTCACTTAACAACAAACTTATCAGTAAAAGTTAAAAAAAGGTTATTTTCATATCTGTTACGTTTTAAGTTACTGTTACTGATACTGACACTATAAATCCAGCTTAGTGTTAGTTGTGTAGATATAGATAAATTTAATTTATCCCATTCGTCAGTAGCGTAGATAAATTCAATTAGTTGCATTTTGATTTAATAAGGATTTTTTAGCAACTAACCGTTTGTAACCGTGTTATAAACGGTAGCTGAAATTAGGCCTTTTCAGAATCGCTGATTTTATTAACCGGATCACCAGCTGATGTAGGGTCATTTCACTGGTTCTCGGCCTGCTAAGTAAGAAATCGACTTTGGAGGTGTAGTTAATATGGAAAAAAGTGTCGGATCAACAATGTGAGGATATTAAGTAAATCTTTGGAATGTTTTTTATCCAAAATTAGTCGTCTAAACCATGCTTTAGATACAAAAAGCGAAAAAAAAAAGAAAAATTGAAAAAACATAATTTTTTTGGTTCTCGGCCACTCGCCGCAGATCTCGGCCAATTTTATATCAGTTCTCGGCCATACAAATTTCAGGTACCTATTCGAAAAAGACGTCTGATGTCATCCAGCCTTTCTCGGATTTGCCTAGAACCCATCCACACAACTGCACGAGCTTTATTGATGCCTTCTGCTTCTCTCAACGAGATTTCTGGGTTTCTTCTCATGAAGTTAGAGTAGGTACCAAGTTTGCTTCGGCATTCCTCCTTTAAATAAGTTCAGGCCAGATTCTACATTAATTTTCGATACAGTCTCCAACAACATGTTCTTTTTAAAGGGAAATCCACATTTGGAAAGCTTAATCACCCATTCTTTAATAATTTTTTTGCCTTCTTCAGTTAATAGCGGCTGTGGTCCTGGTTTCCTCAGCTCATCAGGAACTCGACCAATGAGCTGGTCTTGAAGTGTCGTTCTCGGGACTTTATACCTTCTACTGGCTTCACGAACTGAGATATTATTGATTCGGACTTCATGTAAATCTTTTTTTAAATCCATTTCAGAATATTGAAACATGGTTCGTTTAGCTACTGCTTTTGCCTTGGGTCTGACAGTTGTTTTTTTCTTGGAACTTACACTTTTTTTTTGTGGGAGCCACTAAAAAAGACAGAAACAAAAACTTTTCTTTTAGCAAAATTGTTTAGGTCTCTGAGTTATCTTAAATGATGGGTACTTTAACTTTAGTAAGGTAGGTGGTATAGGTACCTACTCCATTGAACATGCAATCAGGAACTTTATAATGGCCGACAATTGAAACACACAAAATATATGGATCCATGGGCCACTGAACTCTAGTAGTGGCCGAGATAAGGTAGTTCTCGGCCCCTGAATATTTATGAAAATTGACATTATTTTATGTAATATTTGAGGGCCGCAAACTAATATATAAAAAGGAGATATCCAAATGCACCTGTTAAAAATTTTATTATGTATTAACTATTTACATAATCTGAATGAATTCAAAATAGAAACATTAAACAAGTATATGATGAACTAAAACTGAACTAAAATACGTGTTTTTTTCAATACTACTTTCCGGCCGCCTGAAATTTCATGAAAAAAAATAGTTTTAATAAGATTTTCTCATAAAATTATGAAGGTAAAATATATTCCTATAAGTAAAAACACTTTCCATACATTTCTAACATAAAAATGTTGAAATATTTACTATTTTCTGCTCAAACATCACTAAGCACTTTTGAAGAATAACAAACGTCGTACTCGCGACTTGAGTAGACCTCTACTAAATGATTTTTCAAGTGTAAACCAATTGCACCCCTAACAACACCCAAAGTCATATGGGTACGAGAAAGATACAGAGAGTCAGATAAGCATCGAGAATATGTATACGTGCTGTAGTTTTCTTATTTTTCAACATTAAACAGAAAAATGGCCGAGAACCGGTGATGG